CGAGCCCCTAAGAGATTTGACATGTCATGGACTGGTAATCATGAGCACCCTCTCATCAGTCAGTCGTGGACGTGTCAAAGTACAAGTTGCTAACATAGCACAAGAGGACGTTTGGCTTCGCCCCCGTGAGAGAATTGGTATAATGCATGCAGTAGCAGGTGTCCAGGATGACAACCACGCAGTTACCTTCACGCAAGTCTCTGCCAGTGAAGTAGTCATACAACCCAAGCCCGAAGAATCCCCCAAGAAAGAAGATTCCCCGAAGTCTACACCCATTCCCCCTGAAGACATGCATTGCACCCCTGAGCAGCAAGCAAAACTTGATGAGCTCCTGGCCAGGTACAAGGACATGTTTGTTACTGATGATGATGAACTAGGCTACACCGAAACAGTAAAGCACAAGATATTCACCACAATGACATCCCTGTAAATCAGCCTTTCCGAAGAATACCCCCCGGTCAGTACCAAGAAGCAAAAGAACACATTCAGAAACTCCTAAGTCAAGGCATCATCCGAGAGAGCCACAGCCCCTATTCCTCCCCAATAGTACTTGTACGGAAGAAGAATGGTAGCCTCCGCATGTGTGTGGAATACAGAAAGTTAAACACAAAAACAGTTAAAGATGCTTATCCCTTACCTCGGATTGAAGAATCCTTCGATGCACTGCAGGGAGCAAGCTGGTTTTCTACCCTGGATTTGGCAAGTGGTTTCAACCAGATAGGAGTAACTGAAGAAGACAAAGCGAAGACTGCATTCATAACCCCCTTTGGTCTGTTTGAGTACAACAGGATGCCTTTTGGACTCTGTAATGCACCTGCGTGTTTTGCTCGGCTTATGCAAGCTTGCCTAAATGAGCAGATCTTCCAGATTTTGCTTGTTTATTTGGATGACATCCTGATCTTCTCGAAAACCTTTGAAAAGCACCTTGAGAGACTAGAAATGGTCCTTAAACGCCTGAGAGAACACGGTTTGAAATTGAAGTTGGAAAAGTGTACCTTCCTGTGTAGAAGAGTAACCTACCTGGGACACGAAGTATCCGGTGCTGGTATTGCCCCAGACCCCCAGAAGATAGCAGTCGTACAAGAGTGGCCAGTTCCCCAAACTGTTAAGGAACTCAGAACCTTCTTAGGCTTTGCAAGTTACTATCGAAGATTCATTGAAAGCTTTGCCAAGATAGCAGGACCCCTTCACCAGCTAGTGAACAATTCACTTCATGAACTCAAAGTTAACAAGAGACTTTTGTGCCGCTTTAAAGAGAAATGGAACCAAGAGTGCCAAGAAGCATTTGACATCCTGCGTGAGAAGCTCACAACTGCACCAGTACTTGGTTATACAGATTACACCAAGCCTTTTATTGTGGAGACAGATGCTAGCCATGATGGACTAGGAGCTGTGCTATCCCAGGAACAAGATGGTAGACGTAGAGTTATCGCTTATGCAAGTCGTCGGCTCAGAACCCGGAGAAAAACATGCAGAATTATAGTTCCCGTAAACTAGAGTTACTAGCGCTGAAGTGGGCTGTCACAGAGAAGTTCAGAAGTTACCTGTTAGGAACAGAATTCGTGGTGTACACAGACAACAATCCCCTAAGTCACCTTCAGTCAGCCAAGTTGGGAGCAGTGGAACAGAGATGGGCAGCTGAATTAGCCTTGTTTAACTTTAAGATGAAGTACCGCCCTGGCAGAGCTAATGGGAACGCAGATGCCCTTTCAAGAGTAGCACGTGGAAATCATGAAAAGGAAATCCCGCATGCTGACGATTTAGCTGAGATTCAGTTGGAAAACATTAGCGTCACGCAATCCACGCCAGTTCCAGTCGAGCTGGTGACGACCTACACCTCCCAAGAACAAGTGAGCTCAAGTACCCCAGAGACAACATTCACCAGCCTACCCTCTTACAGTCCAGCTGAGTTACGAGACACGCAGATTGCAGACCCCGTCATCCGTCGCCTCCACTACTACAGGCAAACCAACCGCAAACCCACCCCCCAAGAAAGGAGAGGAGAAACACGAGATGCTGTTACGTTGCTCAACCAATGGGACAAGGTTGAAGAGGAAAATGGCATACTGTATCGAGTTATTCAAGATCCCCATTGCGGCCAACGAAAACAGTTGATCCTTCCCCAGAAGCTGAAAGAGGAAGTACTTACCAGCCTACATGATGGTATGGGCCACCAAGGGACCGAGCGAACATTACATCTGATTAGAGACCGTTGCTACTGGCCGGGAATACATAGCGGTGTAGAAGCGTGGATAAAGAAATGTGAAAGATGTACCTTGTCGAAAGAACCATTACCACGTGTTAGACCAGCCATGGGACACCTCTTAGCTACTAAACCCCTAGAAGTTCTTGCGATCGACTTCACATTGTTGGAACCAGCCACAGATGGCAGGGAGAACGTGTTGGTGATGACAGATGTTTTCACAAAATTTACACATGCAGTTCCTACCAGAGACCAGCGGGCGAGCACCACAGCTAAAGTACTCCTTAAGGAATGGTTTTTTAAGTATGGTGTCCCTCTGAGAATCCACTCCGATCAAGGAAGAAGTTTTGAGAATGCAGTGATCACCGAACTCTGTAAGCTGTACGACATTAAGAAGTCGCGTACCACTCCTTATCACCCGCAAGGCAATGCCCAATGAAAAAGATTTAACAGAACCATGCACAACCTGTTGCGTTCACTACCACCAGAAAAGAAGAGAAAGTGGCCAGAGTACCTCCCAGAACTTCTTTATGCCTATAATGTTGTCCCTCATGCATCCACCAGCTATTCTCCGTATTACCTGATGTTTGGCCGTAACCCCCGCCTACCACTAGACCTAATGCTTGGAGCAGACGAAAAGGATCCACCTGAAACAGACTGGCTAGCCTCCCACCAAGACCGCTTACGAGATGCTTACCTCAAAGCAGGGGAGCACCTCAGACAGCAATCAGATGCACGGAAGCCACCAGCGACAAGAGTACCAATGACCAGCCAATTGAAAAAGGCCAGTTTGTCTACCTATGCAGTCATTCCCGAGGCAGAAACAAGATACAGGATGCTTGGGATCCCACCTTGTACAAAGTTCAAGAGACGCCAGGACCTACAGGAGCTGTTTATACAGTTGCTCCAGCCCATGGAGATGGACCCAGCAAGAGAGTATATCGGACCCTGATGAGACCATGTCACAGGCAGGTACAGCCATGCCTTGACACCAACCCCATTGTACCGACAGATTTGATTCCCCCAAGAGCGAGACATAACAGAGTGCCCACTGAACCCCAAGATGATGAGGAAGAGATAATCGTGATGACAAGACGCCCCCATCCTGTATTGAACACAGCACCTCCAGAACCCTGTGAGCCTGTGAACCCCCCCGGAAGAATCAGAAACCAGTGAGCCCCCAGTTCCAGAAATGCCCATTGAAGTGACCCCAGGAGATCAAGCGCCCTATGCAGAACCTGAGATTGTTGAACCTGCCGTTCCAGTACCCCCAGTTGCAGAGACCCCCGAAGAACCAGTTCATGTGGAACACCCAGCCCCAGAGCCCCCTGAAGAGACGACCCTGAGACGCTCAACCCGGACGACGGCAGGACAGCATTCTAATCCCCATAGAGCCCCAAGATCAGCAGCAAATAACTCGGTGACATTGACTGTTAAAGACTTTCCAGTATGTTTTATTTTGTTATTTTGGTTCTTAGCATATAGCCTTTGGTAAAACGAGTTTGTTAGTTTAAATAAGCATTGTTGTGGTCTGTCGAGGACGACGACCCAAGCAGGGGAGAAATGTAACCGAGCTCGATAATTAGCTCACAAGCATTTTCTTTTCGGTATTATTTTTGCGGTTCCGTTTATCGCTTTCCCACGGTACGCGTTTCTTTAGTTGTGCCTTGTGGTTAGCCGTGTTTTATCTAGCTCTGTGATTTCTCCGCCTTTACACCCATAAACAGGAAAGAAATTAATTGATTTTAGCTCGCTTTAATTTGCCGCCATTGCTGTAGTTAACCGCGAAACTCTCCATTTGTTTCCTCCTATTGTATTAACAGAACACGTATGTATTCTGCGGTAAAGCGATAATAGTGTTTCGCAAACAGGCGTATTGCCAAAAGGAAGATTTCACTGTTTTGTGGCTTACCTAGCTATAGTTGTCCAATTGTATTGCTAATAACAGGATGCGAGCTGTTTGTGTTCCGCGCGATATAAATACGCCTGCACGTAACGTTTCTACGCATTACTACAGTTCCAGTTGCCGCGTTCACTAGTCAAGCCGTAGGACATAGTTTTGTAGAGTTCTCCCCTCGCTGGAGTGGGTAAGTGTTCTCCTTTTGCTGTTTTTCCTAGGATGTTCTTCGTTCTCCTTCGAGGTCATCGTGTTTATGAAACGTCCAGCGACCGTAGTATTACTTTCGTGTTGTAGATTTCATCTTTTCTTGGTTTTGTTGTTTTCCGCTGTTGTATCGAGCACTTTCGCTCTGAAATCATTGTCCTTTAGTTTCGTAGCCGTTGTTATTCCTCTAGCGTAGTGTTTTGCTTAGTTTTGCCACCGTTTTGTGCGAGATCGTAGATCACAACCTTTCAGTTTGACCTCCCGTTTAGCTTGTGTTTTCTTGTCTTCGTATCATATGACTCTTGACACGAGTCACGTGCTATTTGTCACGCTTGTTCTTCTTTCGTGACCTAGCATGATGTTTCCCAGCGTGTTTTGTTTACTTTTCACATTTTAGTGTAGTTTTATTCTCTTAGTTGTATTGTTTAGCCGTCGTAGTAATTTTTAGCGTCGTTGTTTCCTTTTAGCGCTATTGCCCTTTTCATCGCCCCTTTTCTTTCCCTTTTTGTTGCTTTATTCGTTTTCCTAGTATTTGTTTTTTATTGTATTTCTTTCCCACTAATTGGCCATTAAATTCTTGTTTGTTTTGTACGCATTTTGTCTTTCATTGGTTGTCATTCGCTACCTCCCCTACTCGCGCGGCTCGGTCACATCTGGAACGTGAAGATTAAGATATATACGGTTATAAATCTTTATAGTGCTACGCTTATTACCTTTAAAACAAGTGTAGTTGTAACAGTTAGTACATGGCACATCATTCCAAGTGTAACCATGCCTGGCGCCGAGAGTGTGAACACAGTCTTCGTTTTTCGAGTCATTCGGTTGCTGTGGGGCCCAGAACCTAAATTTGCTTATTTCTTTGTTTGTCCACACAAAGGAGCCCTCCACACTTCGGTCATTGAGTCCAATCCAAGATCTCTCTCCGTTGTGACGGTGTTGAATGTAGACATTTTCTTCTTGATTGTGAACCGTTACCAAATTGGAACTCATCGTAGAACAGTTTGACTCAGCGGTCAGCCACGAGGCGCATGCACGACTTGTGAAGTAACAGTAGCCACCGAAAAAACTCCATCTTGGTTGGCAAATATCTGTGACAAAGATATAAAACGACTGTGCACTTTAGAAATCTCCACACATTTGGTTCCTTAAAGAGTGCCTTCTCCACAGGCTTTCCCAAGGCTTAGTAGGGAGAACAGAACAATTGAGAAGCGCGAGAAATGAAGGCAAGCAACGGGAGCGACTGGGGACGAGGCAGCTTCACAAACATCATTCCAACTGCTTGTGCGGCCGATACGCTTAGCAGGAGGAAAAGAGGAAAATAAAACTGACGACGCCAAATTGAGAGCAGTATCTACTGATTAAATGGAATAATCAGTAGCAGAAACATTGAACGACTTCCAGGGAGCTAATATTTAAAATGATCGCCTTTCTCTATTAATGAAATGACCCTCGCATATAAGTTATCTCTGTATGCATTCATAATGAATTAGTTGTGAGTAATCAGTAAAACTTATGTGTTGCTAAGAAAAAGAATGCCATTAAACCGTTCTTACCTGACAAGACAGTATATGACACAGAGAGAGGGTCGTACTTTGACTTGTACAACTCCTTTAAACACACTCGAGCTCCAGTTGTGTTGACATACTGAGAATGAGATATGTGACGATGAGAGTGCATTTGATAATGCACAATTCCTTAATTATTTCGTCTTAGTCTCGACAATATAGTGTACTTTGCAAGTGACCACCTTCAATACCGTATTAACTACAGTACTGCCTAGCACTTAAGCCCCGTGCAATTAACCGACACAACATTCATTCAATCAACTCGCTCGCTACACGATGAGGTACTAGGAATCTGATTAACATCTCACAGCAAATTCGAGGTTGTAAATTAACACCAAGGGAGATATACATTAACACTGAATTAGTGTTATCATAACACTTGCCGAGTGTTTCTTAAAAGATGCACCAATTCAGTGTATGAAAACACTAAAATGGTGTAATCAAGAAATGTGGCACACTTTGGCGGTGTAAACTTACACCGTAGTTACTAAAACATGGAACGACCTAAAACCATCTACAACCATCTACAACCATCTACAACCACCTACAACCACCTCAAAAAATTCAACAACCACCTACAACCATCTACAACCACCTCAAAAACATCTACAACCACTCGCAAATAATCTAAAACCATCTAAAACAAGGTATAAATGTCTGAAATAAGGCGAGACGACAACATGTCACGTACATGAAATACGAGAATCGAACAAAACAACCACTTCCCCCATGATATATCATTTTCACCAGTCTCTTTTACTTTCCAATCTTAGCCTCCGAGCCCGGCCCACACTTTTCTCTACTAGCCTCTTTTTTTAGTCCTGCCCCCCATTTTTTAGGGTGAACTAAAATGTAGTCCCGCAGCATCCTTTAGTCTAGTGTGAACGTGTCTCACTTGTAGAGCCTGATTTTATACAGCTATTAACCCGTTTACAGTTGCAAGAATTAGAAAACATTATATAATGATATTTGATTATTCTTTTCAGCAAAATGAATCAGAACGTTCTTTCCAGTAACGGCTCTTGGCGGGGAGGGAACACCCGAATATGTGATCCAAATTTTTTGTTCCGTTTTAGCTCGTAAAGTTCCAGCTACTCTAGCCTGTGCCAGGCTCTCCGATAGTATAGTGGGGACGTATTTACAACGAGCAAAGCGAAAATAAGAAGCACGCATATCCCATCACTCCTAAGAAGAGTTGGGTTCCAAAACATAATAAAGGTATATAAAAATTTAGGTAAATTACTTTAAATACAATCATTCACTATTAAAATTTTTCAAACCATTTTTATTAATTTCGGCTCGTCTTAACTTGTTTTCTTCTGAATCCATTGCATTATAGATTTTTTTAAAATAACATTTTTAACAATGATTACACCTACTAGTCTCCGTTTCCTGTGTCGTGACGCAAGGGAGTTTAGCCTTGCGTGATCAGATGACACAGGAAACGGGTGTGAAAGACACTAGGGTTCATCTAAAGGAGTCACCTGGAATGTACAAACATGTTTGGCGGATGATAAACAGATGCTAAAAAAATTAACTCGCTCTTAGGAATGTAATCCGCCACCTCAGAACAAAACAGCAGTGAAGCAGACTCCGAGAGAGAGAGAAACCCTACCTTGTGCCATTACGTAAACAAATGAAACGTGAACCAAAACGTCTCACTGGTACCCAGGGTAGAAAAAGCCAAATCAAGTCAGTCTTTCGACTACGAGTTTGTTATTTTATCTTATTATTTTTTGTGACTTGATAGTTCGTTTTGTAAAGTTCTTTAAGTCTTTTAATATACTTAGCATGATCTCGCATTTCATTTCGTGACTTAAGAACAATGGTTGATGATACAAGGGACCAGGGAGAGTAAGATTTTGGGGGGAAGTGGATGTTTTGTTCCATTCTCGTATTTCATGTACGTGACATGTTGTCGTCTCGCCTTGTTTCAGACATTTATACCTTGTTTTAGATTGCCTGCGTGCAGACGTCTCCTATTTCCTTTTCCGCGTGCAACCACAGGGAGCCCACACAATCTGTTTGTGTAGCCGATTGTTATTTTATCGTAAATGTACTGGATTTACCGTTTGCTTCACCTATAGCGATATATCGCTAACTATGTATATAAATCAATGATAAATAAATGTTGAATTACCTTGCCTGTGGTGTATAGTCGTCCTTTTGCCTCAAAAGCGGTTTTTTGAGCGATTTTGAATGAATTTGAGTTCGCCGTTGACAGTTCCATATAATAGAAGGACAAGGGAGGAATCCTTGTTTTGAAAGGGTTCCAGCGCCGGAGCGATTTTTCCCCCCAAAATCGCATCGCTACGCTTTCAAACTTCGCAGCATAAAGGTCAAAAGATTCACGATTCTTGTCGTACCTTCCAATCGAAAATCCATCCAAACGGCCCGGAGCTAGCCCTCGAAGAAAATCAAAATCCCACAGTATTCGAGCGACTGGAATGCGAAGCAAGATCCATACGTGCCAGCCAGAAACCGTCCCGCTGAGTGCCTCTTTTTGATTGGATGTCGTTAAACAACAAACGCTTACCAAGTCTTCTTCATCAGTTATTATTTAACCATTTGTTTAACGACATCCAATAAAAAAAAAAAGGCAATCAGCGGGACGGTTTCTGGCTGGCACGTATGGATCTTCCTACGCATTCCAGTCGCTCGAATACTGTGGGATTTTGATTTTCTTCGAGGGCTAGCTCCGGGCCGTTTGGATGGATTTTCGATTGGAAGGTACGACAAGAATCGTGAATCTTTTGACCTTTATGCTGCGAAGTTTGAAAGCGTAGCGATGCGATTTTGGGGGGAAAAATCGCTCCGGCGCTGGAACCCTTTCAAAACAAGGATTCCTCCCTTGTCCTTCTATTATATGGAACAGTCAACGGCGAACTCAAATTTATTCAAAATCGCTCAAAAAACCGCTTTTGAGGCAAAAGGACGACTATACACCACAGGCAAGGTAATTCAACGTTTATTTATCATTGATTTATATACATTGTTAGCGATATATCGCTATAGGTGAAGCAAACGGTAAATCCAGTACATTTACTATAAAATAACAATCGGCTACACAAACAGATTGTGTGGGTCCCCTGTGGTGCAACAAAGGAAATAGGAGACGTCTGGACGCAGGCAATGTTTTAGATGGTTTTAGATTGTTTGCGAGTGGTTGTAGATGTTTTTGAGGTGGTTGTAGATGGTTGTAGGTGGTTGTTGAATTTTTTGAGGTGGTTGTAGATGGTTGTAGATGGTTTTAGGTGGTTTTAGATGGTTTTAGGTGGTTTTAGGTCGTTCCATGTTTTAGTAACTACGAAAGTTACACTACATCTGTGTTTCAGAAATCTTGCAAGAACTTAACACAACTGGAGTGTTATTTTACACCAAATCGTGTATCAAAACACTAACACGGAGTTTAATCTGAAATGATCAATTGCATATCCCAGGTCAGAAATGTTTAAACTAACCACCCTGCTCACGTGAATAGACCGAATAGGTCTATTGCTTTTCAAAAAATATGAGATGTGTGGCAGTGCTCCAGCAATGAAAGCAGTTATACTTCTTGTTGCTAAAAGTTATGTGAATCCTTTATTAAGGATGATGTAATTTCCTCTTCTTCAAAAATTGACTGATCTAATAATGACAATTATCCTCACGTACTTTATTACGGGCAGAGAACCTTTAAAAACAAAACAAAAAAAAAAAAACACACACACACACACACACCGTGACAGGAGCGTCTACTACCAGGGCCCCACGTGCTTTCCGTGACTAATTGAAAGCACGTGCTTTCAGTGTTTATACGCCGGAAAGGTGAAAACAAAGATAATTGTGCAAAATTAAAATATTCTAAAAAGACGGCATTTGTCTTATGAGCGAGTTAACCTTCGAAATATCACGAAAACATCGCATTTGCTTTACAACAGTCATTATTATATTTGTATGCTGCGTAAGGCTCACGAAAGTGATATTGTAAGTTTTATTGCAACGCGTCTATCAACGTCGGCAAGCGAAACAACATCGGAATGTTTTGTGTGCGGATACGGCCAATCACAACTCAGTCCTAAAATGTTCTCACGGTTTCATTAATCCCTTTGATTGCATTGTGAACATTCCTTTCAAGACGGTACTTATCAAGTAATGTTTTGTCCAATCAGAGAAAAGCGGAAAGGTTTCGTGTCTTGTTCAACGTTGCGTGCTGTTCATATATTCACGCACAGCGAAGCAGTAGCCGTCCATTTCACCGTCTGTAGACTCTGCACGGAAGAGTTAAATTATTTGGTCTGTCTGTTTTAAGGGTAAAACCTTGCTTGCTTCACTTATTTTTCCTTGCGAAGATGTTCAAGAGTGGATGAAGAAGGAGGGATATTCAGGCATTTGCCGATCATTTTTATGGTAAGGTAATAGCCTGTCCTAACTAAATAATATGTTCTGCCAGGAGCCCATCAAATGGGCTCATGGTTCTGCTTTTAAAGGAAAAAAACCCTCATATACTGTGACACGAACCTACAATTCGTAAAACGGTGTTCTGATACATCTTTCTTTTGATTCCCCATCTAACAAAAGTTCCCAACTGAAACTGCACTTTTGGCGCGAAATAACGGAAGACGTTGACGTTTTTACTTCGCATTATATTAATTAAGGCCTGAAAGTTTAGCTTTAAAAACTTTAATTTTCCTTTCTTAACTTTTTACTTTTTAACTTCCAAAGCTGAACAGGTTCGGTTGTGCATGAATGAGGAGACCCTGAAGACCCTCGTGCCCCCTGCTGGCGTTCTCGCTAATCTTCTTCACAAGGTACGAAAACTTGACTTGATAAAAGCACTGAAGTTCGGATAGTTCACGAAGTGTCTACCGAAGCACGACCTGTACAAGAAGCCGTTAATGCTGAAACAGTTGGCGAGGCATCTAGTGCCCCAAAAGTTGATAAAAAGAGGTGAGAACCTATTTACACTTCCAAAGGGCCAGTGACTGTCACAAACATCATTTCATTTTATATGAAAACGGCTAGGGGAGTAGAAGGGGAGGGATTTGCAAGTTTTGTCCATGTGGTCCTATATTGTAAGCTTTTTTTCCTGCAATCCGGTCAGTTATGGAAAATCCAAACTATAACAAAAGAGACAATATTATATATAGGGAATTTACTAGCAATCAGAAGCTTGCAACATAGACAAGTTAATACTGACATATTTCTTAGGTAGGGTGGGTGGGGAGTTAGGTTCAGTGGAAGAAAGAAGACTCAGATACAATGCATTAGTCAACCTATACGGAGCGGTTAGGAGAGAATCCTGGGAACGAGGTGTTGGATTAGTAAGCAAATTCTAAACACATCATTACCTATTTCATGTTACACCTACACAATTTGCCAATGTGTGCTGTCCATATACAATGTAAAAGAACGTATAAATATTTTCAATCATTCACAAGAGATACCTGTAATGAAAAATATTATTTTCAGCCGTCCTATTCATTTTACCAATGATACTTCAATACTGTCTTTTTCGATAAAAGTGCCTGAGACCCAAAATTGTAAAGCTCTGTTCAGTGATACAATAATCGAGGTTGCAAAAAGTATTATTAAAATATGTCTGTAAGGTTCTCAATTATATATATTCCCAAACAACTTACCTTTATCTTTCAATTCATCATGTTGTGGGTTTCCATAGCTATGTAAAGTTGGATTTTCCGCTTTTAACTAGCTCCAAAGTTGAGAGGCCAGCCCGCTCATTACTTGGAACATGATGAATTGATAGCTGGTAATAATTATAGTTATCTAAAATTATCAGAAAAACTTAAGAAGGATAGAAAAACAAAAAAGAAAGAAAGAACGGAAGAAAGACTAAGAAAAAGGAAATACACTCACAGTAATGCTTCCACCCCCTTTGAACAAATTTTTATTATTTGCGGCATTTTTGTTTAGTTGGAAAAGATCTGTTGTGGCAAAAAGGCGTCAGAGACGAGCTCGAAATAAACGAAGAAATAAAACAAATAAAGAAAAACGCTCATGAAGAGCTAGTTCAAGAAAAAAAGAAAAGACAGACAACCGAAGAAAAACTGTCTTCTGTCAAAAAAAAATCAAGAGAAGTTTCACCAACTGTGGCGTCAAACAGAACGTGAAAAAGAAAGATTGCTTCATTTGCAGATGAAAAATAAAACATATAAGTCAATCAATTCTTCAGATAGTGCTGTGGCAGTAACAAACTCATTCCTAGAGATTCCACGGGAACAGAAAGTGCATGTGAATATGGACAGTGATTCCAAAAACTTAATAACCCTTTGGGAAGGAAAGATTGGAAAAGTTACACTGGACTTGCCTTTTATCGAGAAATGCCTGTTGCAGTGAAACAATTCAGTAAAGGAGTCTCGCAAACAGAAGTTGAGCATGACGCAAACATTATTTCCTCATTTAATCAGGCTAAACCTTTCATGCTTGTACTACAGTCCTAATTCGTTTTTCGGCAGGAACCATTCAACCGATTTCTATGATGTTTTTGACAGTTTTGTAAAAATTCGGTTTTAAACATAAGCTGATATCTCAAACAGTGTTAAACCTACACAAAAATAAACAACATTTTCTTAAATTTGCACTATTCTTTATTAAGGATGCCAAAAATGAAAAGCGTGATTCAAAAACATACCCAACGTGCATATAAATAGGTTCGGGCCATCTGAAGAATTGAATGAACATACAAAACTTTCCATTTCAATATTTATTGACTTTTATTATGCTGCAGTTGAGAAAACACATTTATTGAAAGTGTTCTTTTGCCTCTTTTTTCCTCTTTATAGAATGGTGTTGATGCAAAGAAAGTTGCCGAGAACAGCAAGGAGGGAATGACGTCCTTCATCATCTTTGAGGGGCAACTGCAAGCCCCAGATAATATATACCTGAGTGGGGAAGGAATCTCCCTCTAAAGGTTAATGGAGGACATACCAGCGCCTTGCTCACTCTAATATATGTTGTGTGTAATACAGAATACCCGGAAGAATGCAGACACTCATATTCATTTGTCCCAGAGAGAAGTTTTGAATGGACAATGTTAAACTATACCGACTAAGGTATTACAGCTCATGAATGAACTGAATCAGTTCTGAGCTCGTAATTAAAGCAAACTAAAATTAAATCTGCACGACTTGTTGTGTAATCTGCCTTTCACATCAATAGCTAAGCCGAACGACGACAACGACGGTGGCAAAAACGTCTCTTAAAAAGTAGATCCACGTTGTTTCAAATTTCATCTCTCCGGCTTCTGTAGTTCTGTAAAGGACTATATTAATATTTGAATTTTTAAAAAACGGTTGCATGAGAAAATCGTTCTCTCATGCAGTGTGCTCTCATCCTCCGCAAAACTGGTGAAATTAGGTATAGTTAAATGTCGTAGTCGTGCAACAACGGCAAGAAAATAAGCAAAAATGTGTGATGCACGTGCAAAGATGTTGTTTTGCTTATATAAATCTATTGCTTTTTTCGTAACATTTTCGTCGCCGTCATTGTCGTATTAACCTCCCTAAAAAGTCTTAGAAAAGAAAGACCTACGGTGTACAGTCCTCTTAGTTTTTAACACTTGTTTTAATTCATGCTGTTTTACTGAATTCTGAAGAGAACAAAGTTTTTGTTACTATCAGGGTAAAGCAATTAAATGGGAGTAAATTTACAGGTTGTTGTCGTAGCTGTTACTTTGTCTGCTTTTCAGACTTCTTCATGAGTTACAAATAGTGTTGGCTCAGGACTCAAACGGTGTGTTATAACACAATTGGAAGTGTTGATCTACACTAATACAGTGTAAAATTCCCAGTAGAGTAAATTTACCTGACTTTGGTGCGCACACAGCTGCAATGGGTTTTACACATATTCAGTGTCATCATTACCCTTTTTTAGTGTAACAAAAACACTAGAACAGTGTAAAGGAGACATATTTTTGGTGTATTTTAACACCAAAATTGGTTTACGTTAACCCAATTTTGGTGTTACTAAACACCAATATAGAGAAAATTTACACCAGGTCAGTGTTGCTTTAACACTGCTAAGGTGTTTTTGAACGCATTCAGGATCGTATGTAGGTCATATTTACACCATTTTGGTGTAAATATACACGACAGTAGTGTTAACTGAACACCTATTTGGTGTTCACACAGCTGCAAAAATTTACACTTTTTTGGTGTTACCATAACACCTCGATTTTGAATAATTAAAGAATAAACGGCCACTCAAGTGGCCAAACTATGGCGTTTCATGGTGCTATGTAGTGCATCAGTCTCATTACAGCAAACAGAGCTCATCACAGCAATGTACCGTTGACCTAACTATTATTTAAGGTTTGGGAGAACGAGCATGGGGCATAAAGTACATTAAAAAAACTCTTCAGACTCGCGGGAGAAAGGCCGGGCTTTTTAAATTAATTTACTTTTTTCAGTCATCATCTCTCCTTGGCTAAGTCAGAAATGTCCACTTTTAATGAATATCTGAACATCATTGATGCTTTAGTGGCCACAAGAAAAAATAGTTGCTGCTGTTCTAACCTGAAGATTCATAACTATCATAAATGTGAGGGTAAAAGTCGTACTTTATTGAAGATGAGAAGGGACAGCTTGGGTAGCCTGCGTAGAAGGAGGAATTTCTGTCCATCGTAGTTTATTTAACAACTGCATGCGCGTTCTTGTACTCAGTGTATATTTATCGTGACAAGCGACACAAAAAACTGCATTGCTAATTTTATAAGGTATTATTTTACCTAGTTTGACTTCCTGGTGAGTTCTATTACCACTATTTATTTCTTACTTGATCTTTAAAACGGCTTAAAAGAATATTGATCCTACGAGTATCGCCACAAAACAATGATTTGAGATATTATAAATCTGGGCCGGACCCAGCGTGAAATAAATATTTACAGCAGAAGACTCATCTAATAAAAAACTGTGGAAGTTAAAACCCTGAAAAGAACATCACGAACAAATATAAAATGCTTTCGATCTGACCAAGTTCTGTCTGAACCAAGAAGCAACCACGTATTGGAAACTAATTACCACATGTCCTAGCTTTCAAAGATAAAGGATTCTAAAACATATCTAAAGCGGCACACGACAAGCTACAGTCAAACCTGTATAGTTAAGCGATCACCCACGGGGAATAGCTAAGTGCCGCTTAATACAGGTATCGTAAAATTCAACATTAGGGCAAGTGAGAATGGCATTTGATACTTGATTTTCTTTTGTATTTTTAAATTAAAAACGCAAACAGAGGAGCTGGTTATGGTTTAGAAGTGCCTTGTGAACATAATCATTTTGAAGGGGACAATTGTTCGTGCAATTGGTTAAAAGAGAAACTAGTTAACGAATCAATTTGATCTTCAATGTTGACACCACGGTTAAAAATAACGCTGTGGCTATATGGCCGGTAACCATGGTAACCGGTTAAGGTGTTGAAAACACTAAATGACCGATGATGATAATTTAGATTAGCTGGAATTTTTCGATTTTGTGAAATTTACTGAGAATATAGAACTGCCGGTCATTTAGTGTTTTAATACAGGTGAAAACAATAAAATCAGGACTTTGAGACCTTAGAAAGGGTGACCGCGTACGCTTAATAGAGGTGACCATCTACGAGCAGTCTCCCTTTTTTCTTGGTCCGCCGAGCAAAACGCGCGAGACACGCAAATGACATGACCAACGTGCACAGTAACTTTTAGGGAGTTATTATAACTCTAAAAATGGAGTAAAAATTTTGGGAACCGGATAGTCCCTTTTATGGTATAAAACATTAAGGTACATGATCAACTCCTTTTTGGGGGTTATTTTAACTCCTCGATATCTGGGCTGATTTTTACTCCTGAAAAAGAGTTCTTTAAACTCCTCTTAAAATAACTCCCCCCAAGAATTCTCTCTTACTCCCCCCAAAAATAACTCCACTGTAAGGAGTTAAATTAACCCCACTAGAGGAGTTATTTTAACTCCTTGAAAATTACTGTGAGCATGACTGAAGGCGAGAGACGGAAGAGGCTGCCGCCCTCGTTTCTTGTCTTTCGCGGCTTCGCTGCTCGACGCTCGCGCGCGATTACACTATCCTCACTAAATCTAAAGAAAAATAGAGACTGGAGTCTATTTTGAACATGATCAAAAGAACAAGGTGTGATAAATCCTTGACCCCGTAGGCAAATAGATAAAAAAATTCCTCTAATCTTTTCTTCGATATGAATCCTCTTGGGACTTATTTCATCAATCAGTCCCACAATCCGGGCAAATTAACTTTCGTAAACGCGGCGGCTGTACACAGGCTACGTCGTCCTTTCAATTTCGACTTGTATACACATCCACCGCGTACGATCTTGCAAGGAGTCTGGCGAGTTAGTTCCTTGATTTTCAGAGCTAAACTGTGATTGGCTAAAAAGGTTCTACGTCACGGAAACTGTTTTGCCGCTCGGATTCGCTGACGTTATTTTTCGACGGGAGAGAAGCGACGACCGAAAACACGTCTGCGGTTCGTTAAGATGAAGTTCCCAAAACGGCTAACGATGGGAGATCTTTAATGGACACCCGGAGAGAGCAGGCCGTCATTCTTCGAGTTTGACACCCTGTTTAAATCTCGCCGGGGGCAAAACATTTTTCTTTGATTCATTATTAACTGTTTGAGATTAAAATCTCAATTTTCTTTCTAGATTCGATTCGTTTCATTTCTTACTTTCAGCACGGCCGCACATATCCGATTGACGCTTCATTTCCTTCGCACGGGCGCTACGCGACTTGCACACTTGATTCCCACGGTAAAACTCCACCGTCTGGCCTGGATTTAGCTCAATCGGTATAAGAACGCTTTATTTAATCTGGGGTTTAGAAGATTCTGTTAGTGGGTAAAATGACGCCAACGTGCAAAGAGCCTATTGTCATACTCAATAAAAACACATGCATGTGACAAGTGTTTCACTAAACTGTACGTTTATTTCTCAAAGAGACTCCAATCCTACTCCAAAAATTTCTTTAACATAGTGCGTGAGTTGACTGTACCTATAGTCATTATGTATTTCGTTTCCCATTTTACAGAGTGCATCCCTATACCGATTTTAAAATATTAAAAAAAGTGAGTAGATTCATAACCCGCCTTTCCCGGTACATCTTCTAAGTTAAAACATCTGTCCATCGTAGTTTAACAACTGCATGGCTTTCTTGGACTCAGTGTATATTTCTGATCATCGTGACAAGTGACACAAAAAATGCATTGTTGATTTAATGTATTATTTTACCTAGTTTGACTTTCCGGTAAGTTCGATTACCATTATTTATTTCTTACTTGATCCTCCAAACGGCTTAAAAGAATACTTATCCTCATTGCTTAAGTTATGCAAATTCACAAAATGAAGTTAAGGGCAATTTTTTTTTTGTTTCTTTAATACAATGAAGCCTGCTTAAAAGAAATGATAGAACATGTATTACTTTACTTGCACCTTGTTTTTAGTTAGTGCCACAATAACGGAGAGAACAAGTAGGTGTACCACTAAGATAGTAAACATAATATGAACCACAATTCCTCACTTTGATGTTTGTTGACCATTCACAGCAGCTTGATGTCCAGTGGAAACACACCGTCCTGCTGACCTGACCGTCTGCTACTGTGGGGTGTCCACCATTCAACCAGCCGGTTGCATGAGTGCCGCATCTGTAATATGGTGGACATGAAGTTGGCATTCTTGTGCCGGCTGACCCCTCAAAACGAAACCAGCCAGGTCCGATTCCATTGTCACAATGACCCCCACTGGAGTACGTAATCTTTCTGGTATAACTGTTAAGGCTTCCGTAATTCTGACATTCTAATATATAAAAAAATAATGATTTAACTTTTAAAAGGTTAGAAAATCATTGAATATTTTGATATTTTTTGTAATTTATTGTTTCCAAAAGTTTTATCTACTGTACTTAAACAGCCTCAAAGTGGGTAATTTTCACGTCCTGTAAGATCCCCAACACCTGCCCCGGCCCACTGTGGCGGTAATTGTCTACATACGAGTAATTGAGGATTGGTTACTGGCTTTCACACACTGGTAGATATACAGACCGAGGTTAAGCAATAACATGGGAAAGGGCGACAAATATATCTGTAGGCATTCTTTAGCTGCCTCGATCTGCCATTGCAAATGCATGAGTGATCCCTGCTAGATACGATGAAGTAGGGAAATAGTAGGGTAAATATTAATTCTCGGAGAGCGAGTGTATAATTTTGTCGCGTGCGCAGCGCGCGGATTACGCGAGGATCGCAAGCGAGCTGCGATTTCGCTTTGGTCATAAATCTTTCTGTCGGTTTGGTATCCGCAGTTCCCTAGCAACAAGCCATAAACAAATAATAAAGACGCCAAATGCACGTCATCGTGCATTTTGGGTTTCCAGGCAACACGGCCAGCGACTTTTTATTCATCCTCTGTTTATTGTACGCTGGCGAATCGCAAAGTATTTATGAGGCAAATAACAGCGGACTGGAAACACAACAGTGCCAAATTGGACAAGTGGAAGTCCTTGCCGTAGAAGGTTTAACACCGAAAGAACGGTGACCTGAACTTCAGCGAAAGCAGCGAAGAAAAAGACCACGCCGTTAATCGAGCGGCCTATTTAAAGCCCGAGAGTGAATAAACACGGAAATAATGCGAAATGGTTTTGAAATACTCGTTTGAGCTATTTTTCCTCAAATGTATCTTTGAATTCATGATAAATACAGCTCCATAAGGTTCAAACACTGTGAATGGCAGAGGAAAATACTTCAACGCTATTAATTTTGATGAGTTATAGTCGCATGGCCCAGTGGTCAGAGGACGCACTTTTTCGCTGGAGGAAGTTGGGGTGCAACTGGGTTCCAACCCCGGGGTGTCTACTTCCATTCTTTTTTTCTTTCATCGTTTTTTTTACCCTTTGGCTTTTTACTGTTTATTCCCACTGCTGACCCCGTTAGCTTCGCGAGATTTTTTCGAAAACGTATTTCTAGTTTTATGCACTAAAATTGGTTCATTTCATCACATTGACGCTGGTTTCTTTATCGTCTGTCCTCTTATTGATCATAACATCGCATCATGACATTGTCAAAGTGTTGTGGATCCACGAGCACGAGCCCCGGGCGAGTGAATCTACTAGAAAATTTGACAATGTTGCTCCGGACCTGGCGTCAATTTGCTTTTTACTTTAACAAAAGTTTGGAAAAAGATCAGTAAAAGACATTTTGTCTTTCAAAAAGAAACTACTAACAGTAGAACCCGGTTAATACGGACACATTAGGGGACATGCCATGGTGTCTGTATCATGCGGATGGCCGTATTAAGTGGGCTGTCCGTAAAAACGTCCCGGAAACATCTTGTATTGATATAAAGACTATGGCAGACAAAGAGGAAGAAGGGTTGGAACAATGACTGCGCCGAAAAGCCAAGGAAGTGAAACTTGAGAAGTAATTTTTAAATGGCTATATAGTACACGGAAAGAAAGACTGACATAAAATCAAACATATCAAGCTATTCTGCTACTTAAACCCAGAAATTTGTAATTGTTTGGACAGTGTAAAATATCTACAACTAGCACGTGATTGTGACAAGGAAAATAGACGGTACGCAGATAGCCAGTGCCCGTAAAAGCAGGGTTGACAGAGTTTGTGCCACAGGACACAGAAAAGTGTCCATTGTGTCCGTATTAAAGGGTAAATTATAGAAACTGTCCTTTACATACAGGTGTCCGTATTAAGCCGGTGCTCCGTCCTGTAGAAATTTTTAGACATAAAATTTTAAAAAATTTTATGTCTGTCCTCTTCGTATTGATAGAAATTATCCAATCAACGCGCGAGGAATAACTCAGTTAGTTTATGAAAATGTGGCTATCTAAGAAAACTCACAGTCCCGCGCGTCGTGGTGTCGGTAATAAAATACTTTACTTTTTGCCTTTGTAACTGTAAAACAAAACAAAAAAATTCTTACTGAGTGATCTTGTGCTATAACGTTGCCTTGCAACATTGGCAGCAAGGTCGAGTTTCAAAATCTCTTGAGTCAGAGGATGGCTACGAACTCAAAAGGAAGTATGAATTATTCCTGTTTGATTTTTTCATTGCCTGCAATTTCAAACAATTTGATTTTCTTCTTCTGCACGGATCCGTGTGCAGCTGTGTGCGTAAAGGGATCTCATAGAGCAAATAACGGAAAGCAGCGAACTAGACTTCCTGGAGATCTACCCTTTATAAAAACAAGCTCTCACAAGGGTCACATACGCTTGAAGCTTGTTATCATAATGATCAGGCTGAAAAGCGGAAAATAACAAACGCCTATAAAGTTTTTTCTTTATGAGCTTGCGTACTAGCCGCATGATGCTCTCTCTTCAAATGGTGCGGTTTTAATCTCGCAGTCTACTGCGAATTTCAGTGACGTTACAGTTTAGCCCCTCCAGAGTTTATTCAACTCAGTCGCAGGCGTAGAGTCCATATTCTCCATATTTGGCATACCCGATCTCCCTGTCAGTCACAGTCTCTTTCCATATAAGGAGCATATGAAGCAACCACGACTGCGACGGCATGGAGCGAAAACGCCACAAAAAAAAGTGTATTCACGCTGTTTCAAATTAATTTTTATCACTCTTATTCCATTTCGTTCAAGTTGATTGTCAAATGTTGATGAATGGTTTTTGGTGTTTGATTCTAAGGTAACTCTCAATGTAGGAAAAAGAAAAAACAATCGTTTTCTAGTCTGAAAGCGTTCCGTGTTTAGAAATGTTTAAAACAAGAACAGTAGTGTTTTATCTCTGCTTTAACATTCGAGCGTAATAAGCGCAAGATTTCTTAACTAGTGATAAAACTCGTGCCTTGCTTTCTTTGACAAGCCTTAAAAAAAAAGCGAGTTTATTTAACACATGTTAAGGGACTTTCCCAGCCCTTTATATGTAACAGGTTTAAGAAAATGGTCGATGCGCACTCTCGTAATATCGGAAACAGAAACAAGTTAGACATGCCTCCCTTTAGTTTCACTGCCGGTCAGCGGCCATGAGCAGTCCGCCTCTGGAATGACTTTGCAAAAACTTCAGGTAACATAGAAGAATCTCGAGCAGCTTAAGGCTGAAGTGAAGAAGCGTCATTCCCTTATTTATTACATTTTTTTCCCAATAAATTTCACATATTGTAAAGTAGATAATTATACTTTTAATTATCAAATTGCAATTGTAAAGTTGGCTGAAAAGCCATTTTATTGGGTAGGCTAATAAACTGTTACTATTCACGCTAAATATTTCATTTCAATAGGATTGCTAAATAATGTTTTTTTCTTTTTAACTGAAAAAAAAATGGGAACACAAAAGTAGCCAAAATAACAAAGGCTGGTCAGATATGATTATGCAAATACATCAATTGTACAACCTCAAGTACACAGTTTAGAGACCTGTTCTCGTGTAGTTGGTAACGTAACCCCCCTGTCCATATAATCTCTAATTTTAATTTGATCAAGTTTACATGTTAGGTGGGGGTAACCATATGAGAGATTGTATGGACAGCCGGGTTACCCTACCTAAGCGGGTCAACTAGTATAGGAAAACAATTGAAATGTGGTGGCGGTGGTGGTGGTGGTGGAGGGAAAACAATGGAAATGTGGTGGTGGTGGTGGTGGTGGTGGTTGTGGAGGGAAAACAATAGAAATGTGGTGGTGGTGGTGGTGGTGGAGGGAAAACAATAGAAATTTGGTGGCGGTGGTGGTGATGGTGGTGGTGGTGGTGGAGGGAAATAAAAAGGAGAGGGGTAAGTAAAGCATTGCTTGCAGTGCAAAAAAGAGCTAGTTTGCCCCTGCCCTCTTTAATATACACGATTTGCCCGCCAAAAGTCAGTGAACCGGAACAAGGACAATCACAGCAGCAGGAAATAGGACAAGAGCTAGTTTGTCTTTTGCCCTCATTACTATGTACGATTTGCCCGCCAAAGTCAGTGAACCGGAACTAGGACAATCACAGCAGCAGGAAATAGGACTTGCATAATTACATTACGCCTCCGTGATTTTAAGTCACAGACAAGTTTAGAATGCTTCGTCAAACGAGACAGCCAATGAGCGTGTTTCAAATTCCGGTCAACCAATCAAAACAACTATGACATCATAGTACCCCGGAATACATATGACATCATCTTCTGAAAATAACTAAAACCTGTCAAACCGGTCATACCAACCATGACCGCCACAAGATAAAAATAGAACATGACATCATTGATAAACCCGTCAAACTGGATATACTTAATGAGATTCCACCGCAAGTTAATGAGATTCCTGCGCATTTTATTCATGAGATCAAGACAAAAGGTTATGACGTCATTGGCGTTAATGTATTCCTCCGCACTCTAATGAGAATCCTCCGCAAAAAAGAGGAGTAACCGCTGCGCGTAGTATAGGGCGCACCGGTTAGGCCTCTTTTTTGAGCAGGAATCTCATTAGCGTGAGCAGGAATACATTAACGCCGATGACGTCATAGGCTATTGTCCTCATCTCATGAATAAAATGCGGTGGATTCTCATTAATCTGCGGTAGAATAAACTAACGTCGCTGACGTCATAGGTTATTGTATTGATCTCATGAATAAAATGCGGTGGATTCTCATCAATTTGCGGTAGAATAAATTAACGCCAATGACGTCATAGGCTATTGTCTTGATCTCATGAATAAAATGCTGTGGTATCTCATAAAGATAAGGTCATGTGGTATTTTTAGTTGGTTTAGGATTTTTAGTTACTTTAAGGTCGATAAACGTCTTCGTTTTCGATTGGTTAGTTAGAAAATAAGAAACGTTTTTAGAGACTTTTGGCGGGAAAATCGTGTATATTAAAGAGGGCAAAGGCAAACTAGCTCTTTTTTGCACTGCAAGCAATACTTTACTTACCCCTCTCCTTTTTATTTTTTATTTCCCTCCACCACCACCACCACCATCACCACATTTCTATTGTTTTCCCTCCACCACCACCACCACCACCACCACCGCCAACACATTTCTATTGTTTTCCCTCCACCACCACCACCGCCACCGCCACCACATCTCTATTGTTTTCCCTCCACCACCACCACCACCACCACCACATTTCTATTGTTTTCCCTCCTCCTCCTCCTCCTCCTGTACTCCTACTTTACCCCTCCTGTACCCTTCCTGTATCCCTACTGTACCCCTCCTGTACCCCTTCTGTACCCCTCCTGTATCCCTCCTGTACCCTTCCTGTACCCCTACTGTACCCCTCCTGTACCCCTCCTGTACCCTCAGACTTTACTCCTCAGACAGTATGAATTAACCAATAAAAACGTTTCTTATTTTCTAACTAACCAATCGAAAACGAAGACGTTTATAGACCTTAAAGTAACTAAAAATCCTAAACAAACTAACAATACCACATGACCTTATGCATTCTACTTCCGTCTATGGCCTAAAACTCTCAGTTTTGAGACGCATTTGGGAGGAAAAGCCCTAGCAACCGACCACCGTGAATGGATTGAAGGATTGAAAATGGATTGAAACTTAATAGGCCAACAACAAGATACAGGACATACAGCAACCGGATAAGTACACGAGACTGTTTCAGATAATGAAAGTGACAAAGAAGATAACTTTGTCGTAGTTTATGGGAGGACATGCATGACCAGGTCGGGAAGATCGGTCTGAGATCATGACAGGTGCGTCTGGATCTATGAGGCTGGTGTCATATTAATGGCCATACGACTTAATCTAAAGATCAGTTAATGGGGGTCTTAATAGCTATTGCTTACCATTTTTACTACTTCGGTTTGATAACTATATGTTCTTTTCTGTATTTTCAGTTACTTATAACTGAACTAGTGGCAGAGTTTATGTAAATTCATGTAAATTTATACCTTGATTTTAGAAAATTCGGGCTATGACGGAATAATATTCGCTGTAGGAAAGTGAAAGTTAATAGCTAACCGAAATTAGTAGTTAACTGAGAATATTATTGTCCAAAAAATAGTATTTAACTGATATTTGGCTGAAAAGTTAGTAGTTAACTGAGAATTGGGTACCCCTATTAGCACGCTCTGATAAGACTACCCACAACCACGCATAATCTTCTCACGTTCAACACAATGAGCAAAATATCATCAAATAAATCGCAAAAAAACTCAGCTTATTGGCAGATAAACATCTCTGGACTTCTCTCTTACACTCGTCTTATTCAAGTTCCCGGATGTACAGTCACAAGGTCGGCAGACCAGAATAGACCCTGTTTTCACACCAGAAATAAACGAAGTCTTGGCGCGGGTCAAAGTTCACCTGGAATTTTGCTCTCGCCCAGTTAATTTGACTCCTAAAAGCCTGTTCCCGAAAAGTGGACAATATCGTACCTTTCTGTCTCAGCCCGGATCAGGGCGATTGATTCGTTTAGCCAAAGGAATCGAAAATACAATACGATATTGGACGATGCAGACTCTGCGAATCGTATTAACTTTGCCCCATCCCAGAGAGATTTACATGATCAGGGGCACCCAATGAACCTGTTCCTCAAAATATTTGTTCTTCAGGCCAACTGCTGGCTGGGAGATTTGGAAAAAAAAATGTATATTTTTGAAAGGAATGTTGCTGGAAAATAGACAATTAAGGGTGTCCGAGGGAATTTGATGTCTAGAATAGCTGCTATGTGCTACTTGCCCTCTCCCCCGCTCCCACTGAAGGGTTAATTTGCGCCCTATGACCACACCCAATATCCTTGTTTTTAATGGAGTCTGCTAGGAACAATTTTTGGCTTGTTGGTCATGTGACCTAATTTCAAAAAAAAATTCAAGTCGGCTCCCCTTCCACTGAATTTCTTTTAACTTTTTTTAAAACTAATCCAAACTAATGAAAACTATACTCACCACTCACAGGGTGCTGGCAGTTTTTACCGTCTCCATTGAAATACTGTCGACATGCACAGCTGTAGGACCCAATGGTGTTCGTACATGAAGCGAACTTGTGACAGCTGTGTAAACCGCTGGTGCATTCATCAACATCTGCGAATGGAGATTCAGGGCGCTGATGTATCAAACATTTTTTTTTTTTACTTTTTCAAGGCTTCATGTAACAGTTGATTTTACTATTTAGATGCATTGTGCCTCTTTTTAAGAGCATTTTATAGTAGAAAACAAACCCACACTATTAGATGCTTATTGGAAACTCAGTCTAGCGATTGATGCAACATATAAACAGGTGGCGGATAGTGGGTTAAAAAGCAGATAAACTTTGAGCATGTTTGAAAAGACGACACAGTATATGAAGGCTTTTGAACTTCTTTTTACATATTCCAACAGTAAATGAGTTCTTTGCATAGCTCTCTAAATAATAGATTTCAATGTTAAAATAGAAGAAAACAATCAATCGACATTAAGATCTTTAACCCAGTATTAATGAGTCCCTAAGGGTCGGTGACACAAAAAGGGGAGAGCCGCAGGAAATATTCGTATGCCGAGGAGAGGGGCAAGGACAACTGAGGGTAACCATGATTACTCCTTCCCCCACCCCTGCAAGGCTTGTGAAGCTAAAGAAGGAAGAACACAGATTCTCCATTTATCTAGTATTTATTTTGTTATTTAATTATATTGTATTAATCACTATAATTTGGCACAATTTGGGTGGCAGGGAAGGCAGAGCCTATGCTCCCTAGGGTAGCGGTGTCCCTAGGAGGACCCCCTAGAGTAGCGGTGTCTCTAGAGGCAACCCTACATTAGAGTGTAACATAGGGTGGACCAGAAGAGGGGTGCCCTTCTTGAAGGAGAATAGGTCAGATGGTGAGTTGTGCCATCTTGGAGTAAGCAATCCGGACCTATTGACAAGGAGGGCTATCCCACATTCTGTGGGGTAAAGTGCAGCCCAGGGTGCACCTCCCTGTCACCAATAAGTAAGTAAGAAATGTAAAATGTAGAAACACCTAGGATGTAGTTTTTGATATCGAGCTATTTTTTATAAGCTAATTTATACAACAGGATAAATTGGAGTTAATGTGATAACCATAAACCCGCCCTTACCAGTAGTGGAATCAGCTCACTTCCTTTCAGGGGTCACTTCCTGCATGCGACCCCTGTCACACTAATTGTTTCGCTCAGCCAATTAGATGCCAGCTATCTCATGTACAGTCGATGCCTATATTTTCGCGCCTAGCTCAGCAAAATAGCACTTCATATTCTTCTCTTCGTGGAACAAAATCCCATCCCACCCTCCCTTATTACTGCTTGATTCTCTCTGCTGGTTTTCTTAAGGTTTTATATATGAGGTCTTTTCTCTTGTTGAAAAATTTAAGAAGCTGCTTATACTTTTTGCAGTCATACGAACTACTGATCTTTGTTGTTTACAGTTCAAATCAATTGGCAATTGTCAAGAAGAATTGGCAGAAAAGAGGTGGGGTTTCTACTGAGGGGAATCATCGTACCCGGCATCCTAACATGCTTGTGCACTTAGCTACTTTGGGCCTTATTTTGATTATTAAGTTGATAAAAGTTTAATTGTAATTTACTTACAACTTATATTAATATATTTTCGTTTAACCTTTCTCCCTCGAGGTTCATGTTAAGTGTCTGGCCCTGCTTTCGGGAGGGTTCAGGTTTCCCTAAAAAATAATTCAGGGTTTTTCCTGACGGGCAGCAGGCACGCAATCCTAGCTTAAATTAGTGATGATATCTGTATTGAGAGTCGTTGGCAATTAATAAACATGGGTTCGGGATGAAGTGCTCCCATGCAGGTTACACTTTGCCCCATAGACTCTTGTTACTACTTAAACCGGGGAATTAGACATCTAGAGAGGTCTTTCCACCTCTCCAGTACCCAAGGGGATTATCACCTCCACTCACAACCTTGGGGGATTATCAACCCCTAGAGAGGATTATCACCTAGCTTCTCACTATCCTGGGGGATTATCACCCCCAAGAGAGGATTATCACCTCTCACTATCCTGGGGGAGTATCACTCCCTAGAGAGGATTATCACCTCTCCCCTTGTAGTTTTCGGACTGTTACACCAATATGTAGAGAAAAGTGACCTGCTGTCCATATTTGGAGTACTTCATTGAGAGCATTAATAAATAAATTATAAACAGTGGCAACGTAATGAGTAGTATAATGTAACAAACTATGAGATAAAATAACCAAAATAAAATAGAATACAATGAAATAGTATAACGTAAACATTTGCAGGACGAAGCACAGCTGCCATAACGATTAGAGAAGACGAAGCGGGTGGGAGGGTGGGAAAAATACAATCTTAAAGAGTGCGAGTAGGCACTTGCTTGAAGAACAAAGCTGAAATGTGGCGGACTAATGGTAATAGGGGTTTACATAAGGCGAGACAGGTGCAAATCATGTGATATTGTGGAAAATTACTGGAAGCTTTGGCAACCACTTTAACATTGTAAAAGTAAAAGTACTTTGAGCTAAACAATGAGCTATTGAATACTGCACAAGCCTTGATTGCAAGGGTGTGGAGTATAGAGTACGCTAGGGACAAGTGAGGAAAGAACTAGTACGTTCAAAACCGTAAAAACGTACCAGGTACAAACATGTACAAAGTTTCAAGAAAAGAGCTTAAGCCGTATGTTTATGGAAATGTAATTCAACTAATCAGAGTCAGAATCTAATACTTTAAATGGTTTGTACCTCTTTGGAGAAGATTCTTGGACACTTAACGATTGATTCAAGCTGCTGATTGGCCTCCTTGAATTACAGCGCCCGAGAAAATTGACATCGGTTTTTGACTTTGCCTAGCTTTTTCATGTCCGTTTCGTTTGGACTAAAAGGTTATTCGTGATTTTTCAAACTCGACGTCTTTCATAATGCTGTAGCCGTGATTTTTCTCTTCAACTACCTTTCAAATCTGGAAATCACACCATACAATGAACTGGTCTTATAATCTTCGTTGTCTTCTCATTCGTTGATGTATGGTGAATTCGTCTGAGGAATTTCTTCTAAAACTGTCGACTCGCCGTCTAGCACTTAAATTTCCTTCAGCAGAGCATGCAATATTCTGCTCAGTTTTCTTTCTGGCGTTTTCGTTTTCTTTTCCTTCGGGAAATTCCTCGATTGAGACTTTATCTGCAAACCTTAAAGTAGTGGAAGCGGACAGTGAAAGACGGGAAAACCGATATGATGTTTTTACTAGTGAAGATTTTCGTCTGCTGCCTGTGATTGGTAAAGGATAATTCTTACTAGTGAGAACAATTGTCCCACCAGTCAAACTGCATGAATTTTTAACAGATGATATTTATTGGTCATATTACGTTATGGTAGATCTCAGTACATATATATAATAATTAGAATGAAGATGACGTGAACTGCGGAAATACAAATTTAAATGATATGATTAATTGCAATTTAATCAATTGTAAATTAACAACGACGATCGTCACAGTGGTAATTGCAATTTAAGCAAATTACAACTTTCTATTTTCGCAGTTCACATCTAATACTTTTCATTCCATGATTCATTCCGTTCACGGGTTAAGATGAACTGAACAAATTAACCTTTTTCCATTGTATTGGTCTTCATGGAGGCGTGCAAAAGCAAATTGTGTCATTGAAATTAAGGATTTAACATGGAGAATAAATTGGATTCTGGATTCCAAACTGTAAATTCCCGATTCCAGGTACTGGATTCCAGTCTTTGTCAGTGGAATCTGGATTATGAATTCCAATCTTTGGTGGGCTTCCGGATTCCTTGAGCTGTATTCCAGATTTCAAAGCCCAGTATTCCGGATTCCACAAGTAAAAATTCACGGATTCCGGAATCTGGATTCCCTTACTTGGGGCGATGAAGAATGTTCTTTTGGTGTCGAAAAAGAATCTAAATCCTGGTCACATTTGCATTAAGTATTGATTTGAGAAACAACTTTTCCTACCTTTGCAAGTTTTCCCGTCACCAGAAAATCCATTCTTGCAAGTACAGATGTAAGACCCATCATTGTTGGTGCAAGTTGCATTGACGTGACAGAGAGGGACAGAAGAAGTACATTCGTCGATATCTGAATAATAAAATTAAAAGTTGGATGTCGAGTACCCTGCGAGCAAGTTCTCCCATTGCTGATAGGCTGAAGGTTATGTGTTAGCATGTTAACTGGAGAAGATGGCAAACTATTAAGCTCGGATTCTAGTCTTGATGTAAGCGAGAAAACTTGATTTACACTAGCCTCGTACCCAGGCCCGTTTGCGCTATCCGAGTAACCAGAAGAGGTTTAGAACCGAGTGTGATAGCGCGAGGACGTCCTCGGTGAATTTTCCTGACAAGCTTGACAGGTGACGTCACATCCGAAATTGCAGAAGACAGCTGGGAAGGAGGCTGGAGTTATATACCATTTATTGTTACTTCAATTGTTTTTATGCGTTTCCCGATAAATGTCAAAAGAAATAATAATACCTATTAAATGTTAACAGACAGCTACAGTTCACGGGACTCAGGTTTGCAAAGGAACGTTCACATTGTTAACGGAAGTATACCCGTGTCAGTACAACTTCTAACAATTTGATTCAAAACAAAGACCTTGCCCGGCCCCATGAAGGCCTTTTTCTTACGACCACGCTTTTGACGGGATGAGCATAGAATGTGCTCTATTGTATTCATGAAAGGCGGATCTTGCATCTGCGACTGATAGAAGAATTTCATCTCCACCCCCAATACAACAGAAACAGAAACAATTAGTACTATTTTGGTAGTTTTGGCCGAGAGCACCGAAAATAATACCAAAACGTTAACCCGTCGCGCAGAATGCCTATTGTTCCAGGAACATTTACTTCCAGTTCAAAAAAGTTTGTAGATCTGTCATATCATGCGTGGACGCTATGAAAGCGACTCAACGATGGGCTGCCTTGAACGCACTCGGATGCAGCTTGCAACATTAAAATACGTCCAAGCATTTGGCATGCAAGACTGAACGACGGTTTAGACTTGCACTTCAACTTATTCAGCCCCAGTCGCCACTACTTCTTTGCTGTAGAAATATTTATTTCCACCGAATTCTCATTTACTCCCGACGCCATTAACATCAACAGATGAATATAACTCTAAAATCTGTTCACAATTTAACCGTTCACCTCAAAGGAAATTTAACAGTGTATCGCAAAATCGAAAATACGTTGATAGAAGAGCATTGTTCTTTTTGAAGATTATTTTATAGGCTAACGTATTCTCTTCATCTCAAAAACATTCTCAGTTTTCCCTTTTTCGACTTTCTTTCCCGATAGCTCATCCATACCTTACCTTTAAAAACTAAAACTCACCTTCAGTTTTAATATCACAGTATGCAAGAACGGACGTGCCAGTTTTAAGGGAAGAAAACCAATACTTTCGACTGATTGCATGACCTTCACTCATCTTTATTTCTAAACAGGTTTCAGCCGG